CTGCCATTTAAGAAAGTTCTAATACCTTGTAAATGGTCAAGATCCTCACCTCTAAACCATATATATTTTGGTTTGTCATGCTAAGATGGTTTGAATGATATACAGGGTTAGTCCCCAGGGGTCATCCCGACCCCCTGCCATTTGAGAAAGTTCTAATATCTTGTAAATGGTCGAGATCCCCACCCCTAAACCATATATATTCTGGTTTGTCATGATAAAGCACATCAAATGAAATACAGGGTTAGGCCCCAGGGGTCACCCCACCCCCTGCCATTTAAAAAAGTTCTAATATCTTGAAAGTGGTCAAGATCCCCACCCCTAAACCATATATATTCTGGTTTGTCATGCTAAGATGGTTTGAATGATATACAGGGTTAGTCCCCAGGGGTCATCCCGACCCCCTGCCATATGAGAAAGTTCTAATATCTTGTAAATGGTCGAGATCCCCACCCCTAAACCATATATATTCTGATTTGTCATGATAAAGCACATCAAATGAAATACAGGGTTAGTCCCCAGGGGTCACCCCCACCCCCTGCCATTTAAAAAAGTTCTAATATCTTGTAAGTGGTCAAGATCCCCACCCCTAAACCATATATATTCTGGTTTGTCATGCTAAGATGGTTTGAATGATATACAGAGTTAGTCCCCAGGGGTCATCCCGACCCCTTGACATTTGAGAAAGTTCTAATATCTTGTAAATGGTCGAGATCCCCACCCCTAAACCATATATATTTTTGTTTGTCATGCTAAGATGGTTTGAATGATATACAGGGTTAGTCCCCAGGGGTCATCCCGACCCCCTGCCATTTGAGAAAGTTCCTAATATCTTGTAAATGGTCGAGATTCCCACCCCTAAACCATATATATTTTTGTTTGTCATGCTAAGATGGTTTGAATGATATACAGGGTTAGTCCCCAGGGGTCATCCGGACCCCCTGCAATTTGAGAAAGTTCTAATATCTTGTAAATGGTCGAGATCCCCACCCCTAAACCATATATATTCTGGTTTGTCATGATAAAGCGCATCAAATGAAATACAGGGTTAGTCCCCAGGGGTCACCCCCACCCCATGCCATTTAAAAAAGTTCTAATATCTTGTAAGTGGTCAAGATCCCCACCCCTAAACCATATATATTCTGGTTTGTCATGCTAAGATGGTTTGAATGATATACAGGGTTAGTCCCAGGGGTCATCCGGACCCCCTGCAATTTGAGAAAGTTCATATATCTTGTAAATGGTCGAGATCCCCACCCCTAAACCATATATATTCTGGTTTGTCATGCCAAGATGATTTGAATGATATACAGGGTTAGTCCCCAGGCATCACTAATGCATATAACTTTACTGGACCAAACCAATTTTCACTGGACTTTGCCCAATGTCAGGCGACCCTGGGAATTACGAATTATGGGAGCTTCGTTTGGGAGACTTCGTAACAGCATCCTGTGACAATCATTTCCTGTTACTTATGTTTTACTTGGTCATATTCCCTGACAAATTATGTTGTAGGACTTCAGCTGTTGCTCAGGCAGGAATGGTTAAAAGTTTTCTTACTAATATAAACTTAAAAAACTTGTCTTACAAAAAAAGGGCACTTCATTGACTGAAACTAAAAATTATCTTTGTAAAACAATGTGGTGCATGTATATCAACAGTGTTCATTGTTTTTTTATTACAAGATTATCAGTGAGCTGACAAATATTGAAATATTGGTACCAGCAGAATCCATGTTGCTGTGTCTTGTAATCTGATGGTAAACCATAAGGCATAGAAGAAACACATTTCATGTAAAAAAAGAAGTGCCTAAAAATTGAAAGAAAAAACAACACTAAAGGATGTTTTTTCTTTTGTGCTTTTAAGTCAACCGTTTTAACTGCTACAAAGATAGCAATCTGCCTCAAACTCAGTTCTTTGGTACTATCAGATGAGGTTCATGGTTGACATTCAATGTTGAAAATTAGTTGAAAGTTCTGTGTATTGTGAGGCCTCCATCTTCTTAAACTAAAAATTAAGAGGTGTATGCAATATATCCCTTCTCTACCAGGAGACCATTCGGTCAATAAAATAGGTAAAAAAGGTAATCTCGGATAGATATTGGATATTATTCTAGTATACCACTAGTGTAATGTCCAATTAGTCTAAATAAGGACAGAGTCGCAGATCACTAAGACTACTAAATATAAAAGTAGCCTCAGGAAACAATAACTGGGGTCGTACAGAAATATAAGCATCTACAGCTCAAGAAGACGTCTTTTGGGATCATATGAGAGCTTTATATCGTCAAAAGACCTGCCAACAACTATTAAAATGAAGAACAAAAGTAAAAGTGCTGTTTTGTCTCATATATGTATCCCAGTATAGAAGTGTCTAAATGGAGGATCTTCTTTTCTGTTTTCTATAATATTTTAGTCCAATTTTTTACTATTCTTTATTTTTTCGCCACTCTCTTTTTTGTTTTTAGAGCGTCATTATTCTCTTTACTTTATGTTTGACCTGTTTGTTTTGTTGGTTTGTTTTGCTCGTTATTCTCTATTCTGTAAACCCCATCCAAACTCTCAGGCTATCTTGAGAATATTTCGTGTATACCCACTTCATATCCTTTTCCTCAAAAATAAAGAAGATGGGGGGGGGGGGGGGTCGTATTAAGTGACCAGCATACGAAGCAGTATCGTTAATTAAAAAGGATACAAACCCAGCAATAAAAAGGGGCGATGTACTGTGCATGAAGTCCATAATTTCCACAAAAAATTATTTGTTTGATTCCTTAGACATTTTGAGATTGTATATTATAACCTGGCGGTCTGTTTGATTATTTTGACATTGTAGAATATCGTTATCCTCGTCAGTATTAGGTAGAGTCGGATCATGCTACTGATAATGACAAGTACCACTAACAATGACTGGGTACGCTCAATCTACTACTATTTAACAGGACTGGCCACTCTGTGACTAATATAAAATAAGGAGATGTGGAATGATTGCCAATGAGACAAATATCCACCATAGACCTAAATGACGTAGATGTAAACCACTGTAGGTCACCATATGGGCTTCAACAATGAGCAAAACCCATACAGCATATCCAGCTATAGCAAAATGTCGAACATTTTAAACGAGAAAACCAACGGCCTGATTTAAGTAAAAAACAAATCTGATAAACAGCAACGAACGACAACCACTGAATTACAGGCATGATTATGATTGTCATAAATAAGGAATACATGTTACATCGATCAGTACTAATATTTTAATGAAAAAGTTCCAGTTTTAACAGCTTCATTATTAGCTTTTTATCTATTGCAACAAAACCTAGCATACAAAAAGACATAACAGATTAACAGAGTCCTTCTCCACCACCACTATGTAGGAGGTAATATAAAATGTGTAAGTGAAAACAGGAAAAACATAGAAAAAGGTGAATTAAACAAAAGACCTTGACATGTTATAGACGCCTGTCTGTTGTCCTCTATACGTTGAATTGCTGTTTCGGTGATTTCATACCAATATCTCTTTTTATTCATATTCATTTAAACAAAAAAACACAAAAAAACAAAATCCACAAAGACATAAAGAACTGACGATGATTTTTTATTAATTGTTATTGGCTTTGGACTAGCTGTCAGTAACTGCAAGTACTCTCAGATCTGTACTTTAATAGTGTCTTTTTTGTTGTGGGGATGCATAAATACCCTGCCACGTCCAGTCTGTGTTTTTGTTAGATGTCTTTCTATTTTGTATCGATCTGATGATAAGCCCTTTTCAACTGATTTTTATAGTTTGTACTTATGTTGTGCTGTTACACCAGTTTCCCAGGTTAGGGGAGGGTTGGCGCCTTCAAGCTAGTTTAACCCCGCCACATTCTGTATGTGCCTGTCCCAAGTCAGGAGCCTGTAATTCAGTGGTTGTCGATTGTTGCTATATATAATATTTGTTTTTCGTTCATTATTTTGTACATAAATCAGGCCGCTAGTTTTCTCGTTTGAATTGTTTTACATTTGTCAATTCGGGGCCTTTTGCGGTATGGTTTTTACTAATTGTTGAAGGCCGTATGGTGACCTATAGTTGTTAAACTTCTATGTCAATTGGTCTTTGGTGGAGAGTTATCTCATCGGTAATCATACCACCTTATTTTAATACTTACGAACATATAAAATCGTTTTTTCCGGAGTCAAGTGTAACGGACAATATATAACAGAGTCCTTCTTCGCCACCATTATGCAGATGATAATAAAATCTGAAAAAAAATGTGAAACGAAAGACCTTGACATATATATTATAGACACCTGTTCAAAGGGGAATATATGCTGGATGTTGTATTCTAGATGACATTTTGGTTGTTTGTGGCTTTGTGTTGCTGTCTTATTGACGTAACCTCACATCTCCCTTTATTCATGTCAGAAATACATCGACATGTGAAACGCAGTAATTATAAATATTTTTTTTTTCGTCAAGAAATGAAAAGAATAACAATTATCTGGTGTAGTTAAATACTGTTATTTTTTTTCCAAGTCGTAAAATTCCCTTTTAGAAGATCTGAGATGTAACGTTACAGCTTCTTGTCATGGAAGATAAGCCAGCACAATAAAGGGCGATAACTATTAAATATTTCAATCATTTTAATAGACTGTGCAAATTATAATATCATTTTTTATTCTTTAACATTACATTTTTTAACAAAAAATATTTCACATAAATACTTAATTCGTTTTATTTGAATACGTCAATAAAATATTTATGTATACTCAATATCAGGACATGCCTTTTAGATTCCAAATATTGTCAATTAAAATGATTTAATAATAATTTCGTTTGGATATTAAATTATTTATTTAATTCACACTCTGGATTTCATTACACTTTGCAAGGTATTTAACTGACACACTTTTAGCGCCTTAAGTGAATTGATCCGTAAATTAGGTGAATTGTATTGGTTTTCTATTTTTATACCTGGAGAAGTTGTTAGACAGGTTTTACAGCATAAATTCACACTTCAATTACTTTAAATGACAACTAGTGTAAAGGACAGAAAGAATACGAATGGACTGATATTTTTGTTATTCAGGGCTTGGTTTTGGGGGAACACTGGCAACTTGTTTTGGGATCTTACAGAAGGGAGAAGGGGGATTTCGGGTTTTGAGGGACCTTGCCTATTTGGACTGATATTGAAATTGCAAGGTAAGTTTACTTTGTTATTTTTTACCTGAGGAAATAATTCTGTTACTTAATTGATTTCTTTGGAATTCTCGAAGTTTATTTTCAAATCGACTGTTTTGTTTTGAATGTGTAAAGAAATCAATTTTTATGTTTTGAATTTCGCAAAAGCCTTTTATTAATGACAAACAAATGTTTCATTAAAAAAATGTATGAATTGTTTCCTTATATGTATTGAAAACATAAATAATTCCAAAAAACTAAGTCGACACCCACCCCGAAACTCTGCAACCATGCATGTCTGCACCCATTCCAATTCACATGTGAATTGATTTCATATAGTTATAATTGAGATCATTATGGAATAAAAATTTTGCACACATAATAGAAAAATAAAGTCTGAAAGAATAATGTTATCTGCCAGATAATAATGTTTCATGCATTTTGAAAATATGAAAAAATGAGAGGTGATCCACCCTAAACATTACAAAATCCACAAAGAAAAAGTTGTGTTGATTTGTCTGTTACTATAGAATATAATAGAAATGTTGTTTGTGGTGCCAAATTAAGAAGGAAAAAACACACGACACGTGAAGAATAAATTGACGAAAAATTACGTATTCATCTTTTTCTATCTCTTGACACATGAAGTCGTAGATAAACAAATAAAAAAAAATAGTGGATCAGCACTTCGTGCATATTAACTTTCAAATAAGGATGAATAGGGTCTTGTGCCATATGTTTTGTAAATGAAGAATTTGGTTCAAAGGGTAACTTTTAAAGGGTCAATTGTTTGGAGGATTCATTAGTTTCTTGGTCGAAAATAAGACACTCTTGTTTTCTGTTATCACGTTTTCAATTGAAATGTTGAACAGTTTGAGAAAACTCCTACAAATGGTGTATTTAAGATATATTGTTCTGAATAGGTTGTAAAACTGCACACAAAATTATTTTGGATTTCTAGAAAAATATATCAACTTGAAGGTGTAAATCATTTGATAAAAGGTCACGCTTTTTTGTTGGTAAACAACTTTTAAGGATACCAATATGACTAAAATCAGCTGTTACGATCACTGCTTTTCCATTGTCTCCCTCTTTAAGCATCTTATCCTGCCTAAAAGATTTTAATCAGATTGTCGGGAGACCGGTTTGTTTATGGAGTTGATATCATTTTTTGAAAATTAAGAGTTTCAGAGGGCTAAATCTAGCAACTTGTTAACTTTCTGAAAAAAAATCTTGAACCAAAAGTTTCTATTATTAACTCAAAACAAATGCCCGTTTTAATATTTTCGCTGATATACAAAATAAAGCCATTTTCGGGATATAATATAATTAGAGTTATAACCGTGACCCCATAATTTTGGTGACTATTTCAAATCTGATTAAAATCGTCTGGTTTGGAATGGATCGAGATGTTAAATGTGAGGCCGTGTAATGTGAGTTGATGAAGAACCCTTACAACCTTACTGAGGGGACAGTTAGTTGGTGGCCTATTCCATTGCAAAATGTATGCCTCTATCCAAAATGTATGCCTCTATCCAGCCTCTATCCAAAATGCCCCATTTTTCGATAAGCAGTACATAATTCCTGTTCTTCATCACCGTCGGTCTACCTTGAAGAGTCTACATATAGTATTAATGGTAAAAATGTTGTCGTTCTAAATAAGCACAAATATTTGCCATTGGACGTTAAGAAAGGAAAATCAATATTTTGGACAGTTACATGATCTTTAGAAAAGGTAAAAATAGGTTAATTGAGTACTCAAACCTCCCTTAGATACAGTCATAAAAGCATAAGAATATACCATATAAGTAATAAAAAGAACAGACAATAAAACAAGGAAAATACTACATTATATATTTAAAACCGTATCAACGAAAGTTCAAAGCTGACCAATCTTTTGCAGTCTGTAGAAGACTGAGAGGTTTTCCATCCCTCCTCTTCACTCAGTCCCACTTCATATATAGGTATCTTATTCCCATGTTTACCATACGAGTCTATGTGTTTTATTTTGTATTTTTATACGCTTTCGAACAAAAACAAATAACAATGTGTATACAATTTAAAATTTTCATTGTCTAAACAAGCAGAACACAAAATCAACGCAATTTTTTGTTTCTACGAAGGTCTCTTTTTTTCAGTCATTTTTTTCAATTCATATTTTTCTTTTCTGTATTGTATCGTATATCAAACTAACCAGCACGGATGTTCAGAATGCCGTACACGAGATAAGTGCGATATAAATGATAATCACAACGCTTTGCGTTAAAAGAGACAATTACATGCAAGGGAAACCAATATGCCCTATACATGTACCAAGATTTGCAAGATTTATGAGATAAAATTAGACATATGACATCTATTTGCTAATGAGATCATTCATTTTAAATAACATCTTTTATAACGATATGCTACAGTACGTATACATGTGTAATATGTACATCGTTTCATGTGAAATTCAAATTGTTTCTGAAAATGAGTCCGGTAAACATTAATGCAACAAGAACCTACAACACGGTTACACCATCACTCAGATAAAACAACAACAAAAAAATGGTGTCCAGAGGACAATATATGTACTCGCTTTTCAGTGATCGACAAGCGTCTACGCATTATCCCCGAGTTTATATGCAGACTAGTAGTTGCGAACTAATCCAAATGATACTACTTTTTTTCTCTGTCACAGAAATGAAAACTGGACAATTTAAAAAAAAATCTCATGACTTCTTTTCACATTGTTGCCTACATCGACCACAAAAGTTGAACACAAAAAACTTTAAATTAGAGAAAAAAAATGTCTGTCTGATTTCTTAATATTACATGAATTTCAGATGGCGTTATTGAAGGGTTTACTCATCCTCTGTATACTAAATGCCATTTTTGGACAAGAAGACTGTCCGGCCACCACCACACCTTGTTTCTATGAAAACATCGGATTTTATCCGTCAGGCAATAATCAAGCTAATGAACATTACTACATTGGTGGATTATTTGGTGTCCATGAGATGCCAAATGATGCTTATTCTTGTTCCAGATCCGCAATACGAGACCGTGGAATAATAAATCTGCAGGCATTCCTATGGGGAATTCAAAATATTGGTAGTACCATATCTGCAGGTGGCGTTGCGTTAGATTCATGCTCCTCCTCAGATCAAAATATCGAGAACATTCTCAGCTTTGAAACCTGTAAAGTAACACTTGGTGAGACCAACCCAGTATCGCCTAGAAACTTACTGGCATATGTAGGTCCAGACCGCAGTACACAAGTACCGGCAGTGTCGTCACTGTTGTATGAAATGAATAAAACTCATATCAGCCATGCCGCCACCTCGCCACGTTTACGTGATGGCGATACAGATTCGTTTTTCTTACGAACAGTACCGACTGACGTGAAAGATGTCCTTATGATGAAAGAACTCCTTGGCAAATTAAATGCTAGGTTCGTTATTGCAATCTATCAAGACGATGAGTATGGGATGGGATTGTTTGAGGCGTTCAATTCCACGATGTCTCAGGCTGGTGTGTGTATAGTCTACAAAGTAAAAATGACATCAACAAATATGGCGGAGATAGCTGCACAGCTCCGGACCAGAATCGCTACTAGGTATGTGGCGTTGCTAATGACATCAAACAATGTTAAAATGCTTTTTGATTATCTCCGTTCAACAAGTGTACCGTTTCCAATTGGTCAGTTTTCATTCATTGGAACATCATCGTGGGGGACTTTGACTGACGTCACAAGTGGTGGTGGCATAAGTGGTTATACAGTGCAGATTTCCGCGCCAACGTCGATAGAAAATGAAGTTAATCAATTTTACAGCTATTTAGAATCACTTAAACCAAGTCAGAATATGCGTAATCCTTGGTACGATAAATGGTGGCGATCAAAGGTCGACTGCACCACGGGAGTTCTAGCTGACTGCGAGGCCACAAAATCTTTAGTTGGAAAATCATATAGAGATGTCTATACCCCTTTTACTCTAATGGCCATTAAGGCGATAAAGAAAGGCATTGAAGCTGTTTCTCAGTCAGAGTGCGTTGGTTCAGCACAAGTCTTATGCTCCAATCTGTTGAATCAGCACAATAGAGGACAACTGATCAGAAATGCCATTATTTTAGCCACAGACAGCAATGGCCGCCGGTATTTCCAGGATAATGGTGAACTGGCTGATAACTTGGTCAACTTCAAAATTTATAAAATAGACAGTACCGGCAATTATAATGTGGTAAGTTTTCAAATAGCACGTAAAGCTCATTTTAAATTCAATTTCGATAAATATATTGAAGTTTTTAAATTTAATTATGCAAATACTGCAAGTCCGTACTGAGTATGAATTCACAAATGAAGAAACAGATAACATATAAATTAAACAACACACATACAACTTATATAGTTAGTAACAGGCATAGATAATAATTATATAAACACTACCATATGGTTATAATATATCGTTGTATTACTATACTAAAACAAGTGTAAAATATACAAAGAAAGCAACAGATGTACAATATATATAGAAGCAACAGGCATACAAATATTGTTAGCAAAACCATACAATAAATAAACTAAGCAACAGTTTTTATAGAGGCAACAAGCACAGTGTATGTAGAAGTAACAATCATAGAATAAGTAAAGTAAGTTTTCTCTGTTATGTTTGATAGAAAGCATAGTTAAAACTATGTGTATGCGACATTACACTTGGTTTAGTTATCTCTTATATTTAATCATACATGAAACTAAGCATTAAAATATTTGAAATGTTTTCCAAAGATCGGTTTATTAAGACATACGAAATGAGATCTTTCTCTATTTGTTTATAACGAAATTTGATTAAAAAATATAAAATCGGCGTAGCTAGGAGTTGTCCTCAAGTTCATAACAAAAGACATCTACCCGTCTTTTTTAATCGAAAATTTACTTTTCAGTTTGCTAACTATGATGGAAATAACTTCATTCTATCATCTGGTGCTACACCTGTCATAGATTCTCAATGTCCGAACTCCCCTTGTTTGGAATGTGGTGAGATGCCATCTACGACACAACCAACTACACGATCTCCTACAACGACCACGGTTACCACAACAACTGATATTACCGAGGGAGGGAAATACACCCAAGTTCTTATGTTGTCCACACAGGAGTTTACAGGAGTATATGCAGACCAACGAAGAGATATGTACGAATTAAGATTTGAACTAGGACATAAATGGATCATAGCGCTGGGAGTTTTGGCGGGAGTTGGTCTATTAGCTGTGCTGGTATTTGAAGTTTACATTTTATACAAATTAATGGGAACAAAAACTGGACGTCAGTGGAGAACATTATGGCTAGGACAGTTGCTTCTTTTTGGCATATTTTTATCCTATTTAGTTCTGTTTGCTTATTTACCAATCCCAACCGACGCTACCTGTGGAATCACACGCTTTGGCGTAGGACTTTCATACTCAATTATGTTTGCTGTTCTTTTGGTAAAATTGATGGTCATTTTAACTTCAAAATCAAGCGAACAATCAATTTTAGCAGATGACATTGCATCACCTAATTATCTTAAAGGCATCTATCAGTTTCTCATGTTTGTATTTGTCGTCGGTGTGCAGGTTGTCATCGATGCACAGTGGTTGATCCTTGTTCCCCCAAGGGCAGTGAAGGTTATCACAAATAATGGAGACGAGGCTTGGGTGTGCAATCACTTTACATGGGAAGCGAAAACAGGATGGAGAGATATGAAGAACTTTGTTCGGACTGGGTTCGAAAATCATCTAATTTCTCTTGTTTACATTATGTTTCTAATATTGATGAACACTGTCGTGGCCATGAGAGCTCATGGAATTATAACCAATCATAGAGAAAGCATTTTTATTGGAATTGCGTCTGGTTTCTGTATTCCGATCTGGATTGCATGGGGTCTTGTAGCAGGACTCAACCGGGAACACGACGTGTCACATGAGTTTACGGACGCCTGTATGGCATTTGGGTTGTTCATTACAGCTACCTTAGTTCTATTTTCTATGTTCCTACCAAAAGTTCGACAACTTGTCAACATGGGTGTAGAAGGCATCTATCTTGAAGACGACAGAGAATCATACTATGCACAATCTGTTATCATGGCACCACCAAGCTACAAGAGCAGACCTAACTCAGTAATATACGTCAATCATACAGATCCAGTTGTCCTTAGCAACGGCGATCCAAGTAAGAATTATCAATTTAAAAGCAACACTTAATAAATTACATGCGTCCGATGAGCTTTCCTGGATTTAACTTCACCAGGAACGCTAAAAGCCGAATATTTGAAAGCCAAGGATGTGTAAGTGTAACAGCCACTATGTTCCGTCAGTTACTTTGTTCCGGCGGAACTTTTCAACTAGTTATTTCGTTCCGATGGAACTTTCCAACTAGTTGTTTTATTCCGAGTGCAGTCGAAAAGTTCCGGAAAAAAGTAGCTAGTTGAAAAGTCCCGGAACAATGTAGCAAACGGAATAAGTTGCATTATCATGCAAATTTAGTATTCATAGTACCCTCAAGAGAGGGAAGAATACCCCCTCCTCATGTGGGTACTTTTAAAAATAAAATGGTTGATCAGTTCCGTTGGAACTTTTGGGCTAGTTTGTTAGTTCCGGTTTTGACTAATTTGGCAAAAAGGAACTTTCTAACTAGTTGATATGTTCCGTTGGAACTTTTCAACTAGTCACTTTGTTCCGGTGGAACTTTTAAACCAGAGGAAGAACAAAGTAGCTAGTTAATAAGTTCCTCCGGAACTTTTCGGCTAGTTAGTTCTTTCCGCGCGGAACGTTCCAACGTCGGAACAAAAGAGCATTTACATAAGAAACGAAACAGTTGAATAGTTATATTACTAAATTTGTCTAAAAAATAGCCAAATCCATTTATGGTCAACTTTGCCTGAGGGAGTTGAAAGTTTAAATATAGTTTCTTATTAAGTTCTAAATTAATAAACTGACAATCCAAAAAAAAAAGTTTTGTTTTAAATCATGTCAGTACGGAAGTACTCACTACTGAGCTGATGATACCCTCGGGTGTTAAACCAAACATCCTTTGAATATATATAGAATGATTAGAAAATTAGGGGGACACCACTGGGTACAATTAATGTTTATATAACCGTATATTATTATATTGCCTATAATTGCTTACATCTACTTCATTTAAACTTTGCTGGATAGTTGTCTCATTGGCAATCATACCACATCTCCTTATTTTTATAAGTATCTTCTTTTTGAAATTTAACATTATGTAAGCATACTGAATTTTTTTTAAATGCAACTCACCAAAGCTCATGTTCCTCTGTTATTGTGTATATATATGCCGACTTTGAATACCATTTACTTACTTACTTACAACCAGACTAGTAGATTAAAAAAAAACCTACAGGTGTAATGTAAAGACTTCATTGAAGAGAGGATATGTGACAAAAATGAATGAATGAACGGGCTTAAAATTACTTATTGAAACGACGTTATGAAAGTTTGTAAAAATAAAATAGAATGCTATAAGAAACGATACTTTCTACATGATACAAAATGTGTTAACAAGATTATTCATTTACCTGAGATGAGGATGTTAAAAGACCAAACAGTACGAAACAATTTTTCAGATCATTTAAAACACCCTGGGAGTATGTATAGTGGCCACAGTGCTCCAGTTTATACTAAACGACCAGAAGCAATGTATGCAACTGCAAGTAAAAGTCTAAAATTAACAAACGATTTATCTGGGAAACACCCACAACAACAAGAGAGACGACGACCTCAATCAGAGGCAGGATATTTGTATAGAAAATCCAGATCGGAAAGTGGAGGTACTGTAAGGAGTTTAAGGAGTAAGTAGTCTATAAGGGCCTCGATGGAGGTTGTTTACAGAAAAGAGAATAATGGGCAAAATATACAGAATAGATAAAAATTGACCAAAAAATATTAAAAAAAAAGAGTACAACGGGGTGCTAAAATTCAAAGAACAGAGGAAAGTTGCCTAAAAAATCAAAGAAAACAGAAGAAAGACTCCTCACCAAACATCTCGTATATATTCAAAAACATTGATAGAATTCAGGAGTTTAATCCTGTTGTTAGTTACTACGTGTGTTTTTGCCTGGTCCCCTTTTTATGGCTAACTGACGACCTGCTCCTACATGCACATTTCTTGTAAGCTAGGGAGTTTAAATAGTGTAAATTAACCCTGTAAAAATATTATATAAATACTTTAGAAAAATTAAAGAACTTGCTAAGAAAGGAATTTTCTCATGTATAATTGCTATATTGACTCAGAAAATTTCATTTTCGCTTGCATTCTCTTTCAACAGGGGATCAGCTTGCCAAACAAGGACCAGTTCACAAAATATAGTTTTAAAATCATTTAATTTTAACTATCAAATTAGAATCTGTAGAGCTCAACAAAAATCTCATGGTACAACAGTACAGAAAGTTCAAATTTTAAGAACAATACAACAAAGCATGGAGTCTAACTTTTCATCTTGTTACTAAATCTCATACATATGAAATATGTTGAATAGAACAATACAACAAAGCATGGAGTCTAACTTTTCATCTTGTTACTAAATCTCATACATATGAAATATGTTGAATAGAACAATACAACAAAGCATGGAGTCTAACTTTTCATCTTGTTACTAAATCTCATACATATGAAATATGTTGAATAGAACAATACAACAAAGCATGGAGTCTAACTTTTCATCTTGTTACTAAATCTCATACATATGAAATATGTTGAATAGAACAATACAACAAAGCATGGAGTCTAACTTTTCATCTTGTTACTAAATCTCATACATATGAAATATGTTGAATAGAACAATACAACAAAGCATGGAGTCTAACTTTTCATCTTGTTACTAAATCTCATACATATGAAATATGTTGAATAGAACAATACAACAAAGCATGGAGTCTAACTTTTCATCTTGTTACTAAATCTCATACATATGAAATATGTTGAATAGAACAATACAACAAAGCATGGAGTCTAACTTTTCATCTTGTTACTAAATCTCATACATATGAAATATTTTGAGACACTGTGCAGATTATGACACGGGTATACGTCATTAAGACAGCAACAAAACGACAAAAATAACCGAGAAGGCTGCATACGTTCTTCAACACTAACGTGAGGGTACCCAAATTGCACCTACTTTGACAGTTTTTTTCACCTACGTTTATTTACGATCCAGACAAAAAGTTTCTAATATGTGTTTATTTTGTAGATATATCCTTATTAACTATAAAGTTACATCAATTTAATTTGAATCCATATTGAATCATAGAAAAATGGGTTTGAACCGACCTCCAAACGATCCATGATTCTGTAATGCGGAGTACCCAAATTGCATCCATGCTTAAATTCACATCCGTAAAAATCAAATAACTGATGTTTTGTTTTATTTCTTCAAATATTTAGAACAATTTGACAATAGTCTATGGATACTATTCATTTTTTAAGAAATGGATGCCTACAACATATTTTCATTGCTCATTTTTATAAGTTGACTGTGTGTGGACGTCGCATGACGACGTTTTTTATGGAGTGAATACTTCATCTGTTGATATAAACTGTGAACGTTTTGTGTATATTTAGATATATTAAGCTATGTTGAAAGACGTGCAAAATGTCAAATCATAAAAACACAAATTTTGTAGCCTCTAAGAAAACTTGTTAGATTTCCGTTGCTATTTTGGTTAAATGGGTGCAATTAGGGTACTGTGATGTTAGACAGGTCTGGGTTGGTTATACAATATACCAAGCTCTTAATTGTTCAGAGTCTATAAAAGATGTAAATGAATTCGACAGAACTGTTAACTGCATTGGTTTAATGCTTTAATCATTTGTAAAAATAATGAAATCGTTTTGTTAAACTTAAGTCCTGTTTTATATATTAAAATAAAATGAGGCAAGCACTTTTCCAGACAAATTGAAAAATAGCTAAATGTAACACGCATCATTTTTTTCTTCTTTCACAGAATCACGTTCACAGACAGATCTTGGTGCTCTATGATTTTGCATACCAGTAGCCATGTGATATTCGTAGCCAATCATTTTCACGATATACAATGTGAATTACTTCCATGTGACCAGATAAAACTGAATGAGAATGTGATAAGAATTTTTCAATGATTATAGACATTTGTGTGCAATTATAATTTTGTGAAACCAATTCCATATATTGCACATTGTCCGAGTATATATCAATCAAAATGACATGTTGCATATCCATGTAGTTTGCAAGTCAGCATGTTAGGAAACAAGTGTCACCAATATTGGTGAAATATGATATTATTAAAAAAGCATTTTTTGGTCCGAGCGTACATGACTATGGTTTGATACTTCATTCCATTATTGTTAGCTTTAATCTTAGTTTTTTATTTTTTCCCCAGGAAAATGAAATAAAAGAAAAAAAATGTGAAAATCAAACTTCAGCCCCCAAATTAAATATCTACTAGTTGTAGTTAGATGTTTTATTTACTTGAGCTGACCCAACCGAAAACCTTTTATGCATGAATATAACACGTTTATTCGATAGTACTTGCCAAGTTGGCATTCACCAGTCCAATATCAATATTATTGAACCGTTTGACAACCAGTAAAATACAAGAAGATAATAGCTTTCGGTACTTGGAACACAGGCACTTGTCTAATATAAGGTATATAGGTTTTGTTTTAGAGACAAATGCCTGTGACCTGGGAGGGACAAAAAACTCATGATTGTATTTGACTTAGGTAAATAACACTTACGTAAATTCAAAAAAATAATTCGTTAGCTTATTTGTCTTTTTGTCTGTCAGGTGAAACTGTGCTTTAAAACATAAAAAAAAGTTTACTATTCTTTTTTATGTTAGCCATATTTTGTATATGAATTTTTAAGACATGTCTCATTGTTGTAGCGAGAGGGATATTTACAAGTGTATTGAGAGCTTGCCGTATATTTTTATTATGACAATATAGTGTGTTTGTATTAATATTTATATGTATATTAAATACACTTGTACATAAAATTTACATATAATTGAAATGTCTTTCTTATTAAAGTGCTACAATCCAGTGTGTAAAAATGCCTTTTAGTTCCTCCAAAGTAAAAATTTCCATTTTTCAGTAGAATACATCATTGCAACATGTAATTCCTCGAATGTTTGTATTCTTTGGACCTAAATAAACGAGATGTAAAGTCACAGAATTACTACCCGCCGGATGACTGGAGAAGAGAACTTTGCTGATTTTTTGGGGTTCATTTCTAAATGATAAAGTATCACTTGATCAAAAAGTTGTTTCCAAAAAGAATATTCTTATCAGATAAAAGTAAAGTTCAGTTTGGACATTACAAGATTACAAGTGAAGTTTTATTCAGACATTGAGAGTGTATGTTGAGTTCGATTAAGACATTGAAAGTGCAAGTTGAGTTCTGTTCAGACACTGAGAGTGCAAGTCGAGTTAAGTTCTACATTAAGAGTGCAAGTCGAGTTCGGTTCAGACATTGAGAGTGCAAGTTGAGTTCGATTCAGACATTTTGAGTGCAAGTTGAGTTCGATTCAGACATTTAGAGTGCAAGTTGAGTTCGATTCAGACATTCAGAGTGCAAGTTGAGTTCGGTTCATACTTAATTTTATGACATGTTCTTAAAGGATAACAGCTTTGTACAATTTGGTGAACAATTCAAGACGAGACAAAAATTAAAATGTGAGTGCACTGCAAAAGTTAATTATAGTCGCATTTGCTATAACTCAATTATCTCTTTAATATGTATAGTATAGTTACAATATTACATACTTCAGTTTGGTAGCTGTAATGCGTGTCACTCATTAATGGGCGTTTTTGTTATGAAATTTGTGCAAAGTGTTGATTCGTCTTGGATTTGTGAAACCGACCGAAGCATTTATACATTGTATGTGCATACATGTTACATGATTTGGTAGCATTTATATAGAATTTCAGATTTTGTACCATGCACGATATGGAACTATGGATAAGAGATAGAGTGTAACATCAGGGTATATTGCATAATTTATTAATGTTATGTAGACTTACAATCGTGTAAATTAGACAGTAAACCTGGAAAGTACGGGCATACAGGGCTTATACTTTATATTTTTACAATCATGGTGTTATTACTTCAAGATAATTTCTTTTGTGTATACTACTTCATTTTTTCTCTTGTGGTCAGTTTGTTACTCACATTTTATGTAGATAACATCCGTGGTGGTAGAAACAAAACAACACCAAATCAAATACGAATCTGAAGTGCATTAAAAACCAAACATTCCAAAAAAGTTGTACCTAATACAGCAGCTTAGGCAATCTATGCCTGGGGCAGTAGCATCGACCCAGGGATTAATAAAAATCATCAAAGACACCAGGCTTATAACTTGGTACGCCATAAGCGCGTTTCGTCTGTATAAGATTCATTATAAAAACGAGACTATAAAGTTTCAAGAACACATAAGATAAAATTATTTTTTTTTAATGGCTATATCTGACAAACAAATTCCGTCTGAACACCCGAATTAAGTTGTTATTATAGATTTATGATACTTTTCGAATTCAAGAGTATAAAAAGAGGCCTTATCAAACCTACTCAATTTTAAAAGCTTGCAAGTAAAGGAAAATGTTTACGTATATACTAGTCAACAAAAGTAACGATGTACACGCAAGTTTAAACTGCTATTCATTATCTGGTCTAACTTAAAAATCATTCAAGTAAAAACATTCATTTGCAAGTCAAAAGAACGTGATTTCAAAAATATAATCAAGTCGGAAGGTGAGAAAATACCGTGTTTTTTAACAATGGGGTCAACTTCATTTTGTGGAAAATGATGCCAAAAATCGATATCCAATTCTGAAAATGAGAATTTTGAAATTAAATATCCGAGGAGGAAATTCAAAATTAAAACCAGGCCATGTTTATGTTTGTCAAGAGTTGCGTTCAATTATAGGTTTTTAAAATTTTGGGTGAAAAAAAGTATTTTTTTTAAATTGACTGATTGCGAATACAAAATTTCGCGTTTAATGCATTAAATCAATGGTATTGACGAGAAAACAACACTCTGTAAACATTGGACCAATCCGGTACTTTTTTTTAGCTTGGTCTCGTGTATTCAATTTCAATATGTACGGAAAATCAGTAATTGGTATTGCTTCTTTTGTTGATGAGTATACTTTCTACTGCATCGTCACTCAGTTACAAAAGGAAATACTTATGATGAACAGAATGTTTGCGTTGATATCATATAAATTTGTCAATGACACCGTAGACATTGTTATTTTCATCAACTTATATCCATAGGTATACCGTTGTCCAGTATCTTCAAAATCGAAAACCTGTTTAAAGAGACATTTGGAAATCATATTAATTACAATATACAATATATATATATATATATATATATATATATATATATATATATAGAAGTCTATAAAAAGGACCAACCAGCAAATTTACTATGTACCGGATCGTCTAGAATAGACGATACTGTGCAGATAAGGAAAAAATTATATAAGTCTAGAGATTTGCACAACGATACTAATATAAGATGGTATTATACGAAGATGTTGTTAATAAATCGTGTTGACAAATATTTCGGCTTAACAAATAGCCTTCTTCGGTGTCAATTATTTTAACAATACAAATAGCCTTCTTCGGTGTCAATTATTTTAACAATACAAAAGTATTGTTAAAATAATTGACACCGAAGAAGGCTATTTGTTAAGCCGAAATATTTGTCAACACGATTTATTAACAACATCTTCGTATAATACCATCTTATATTAGTATCGTTGTGCAAATCTCTAGACTTATATATATATATATATATATATATATAATTAAAATCTTAGATAAAAGCGCCAATAATTGTCTTTAACGCAATTAATTAAAAAATTTAAAAAATCATTAATTTCTTTTCCTAGTTGAATAACTGTTACATGTAACAATAACTTGAGGGAAAACTTGGAACAAACCATTGAACTATAGCAATGTGGTCATAGTCAGGTTGCCTTTGTCAGATATAGATGAGGGTCTGGATTGGTTTTTACAGAATAGAGAATACTAGGCAAAACGTGCAAAATAAAGGGCTAAAAATATAAAGAATAGAGAAAAAACAGGCCAAAAAAATAAAATAAAGAATAGAGAATAATGGGGTGCTGAAATATAAAGAATAGGGAATAATGGACAAAATTTATGCATAATAGAAAAAAATGGCTTAAAAATTTAAAGAATTCAGAATTGAAAGACCCCCCATCCAGACCCTCATAGATGTAAAGACAATTCTTTCAGGTAAATTAAATTGTCACAGCTAACAAACTAACGCGCTTTTCTGTTTCGACGTTCATGAAGAAAGCTCGAAGTCAATAGATTACCTTGTACAAACAATTTCTAGAAAGAAAAGTCAAATCTGCCTAGGTATGAATCGAAGGAGATCAGGAGCAATTGTCATTGTTGCAGCTAGGAACCAAGAACGCAACTTTACCAAATGAAAAAAAAAACAAAAAAAAACGCTATATAAATTTGTTGCATTTTAAGCGCTGAACTGGATTTACTTTCATCAAGAACGACCGGACTCAAAAATTTGAAAGCAAAGGATATATAAATATTGAATGCCTGAGCAGCCAAATGACCACGACATAAAAAGAATAGCCTTATCCACCTAAAATTAAGTTTGCCTGCAGAGTTTGAACATTGGTTTCTTAATAATTTTTTAATTTATCATTGAGAATTTAAGAAAGGTATGTAATCATTTCAGGACAAAAGACCAGATTAATTAGCTGATGATACCTCCGAAAAAAGTGATATCAACACAAGAGACAATGCTGTAAATGTAAATAACACTTTATAAATTTGGTGCGTCCAGCGCGCTTTTCTGGATTTACCTTCACCAGGAACACTCAAACCAACAAGACAACAGACAAGACATGTAAGAAAGTGAAATAGAACTATTTTTGTCGAGCTTTTCTTATACAGTGTTGACATTACCATCCCAAATAGGTCAAACATCAAAATCGCCCCGATTTCAACCACATGTATGCCTAAGTAACATAGATCGCAGGGTTCGTCAAACTAAAAATTCAAGTCGGATATGTAATGTCAAAAGATTTGTTTTGTCGACGGATGCGCTGTATGTTTGAGGCTCCAGTAGGACCCCCTAAGATGACAAGGTCACGCTTAAAAATTGCCTCGGGTCACCAGGTCACTTTTAAGCAAATTTGAAAGCAACGGTCATCTATATAAACAGAGTTCTCGAAACCTTTTTTTAGCCGGGTGGTTATTAAAACCATCAAATCTACAAATATGGTGGTCCCAGTGAAAATTACGTGTTCCTGTATTTCCAAAAAAATGTTTGATAACAATTATTTCTATACATGTATATATATAAACAAGATTAAGCAAATATATGATTCCATATCAAATATTGATATATATATATGTATATACATATATACAATTGTACTCAAGGGCATACAAAATACCAGAAAGCATATAAAAAGAATAAAAGCACCACGAACTTTTAGTTGGACATCAGGACTATCACTACTCTCAAAATTGGCGGACCTACATGGTTTGTGGCCGACCTACAGACCAACATGGTTTGTGGCGGACCTACATGATTTGTGGCGGACCTACATGGTTTGTGGCGGACCTACATGATTTGTGGCGGACCTACATGGTTTGTGGCGGACCTACATGATTTGTGGCCGACCTACATGATTTGTGGCGGACCTACATGGTTTGTGGCGGACCTACATGATTTGTGGCGGACCTACATGGTTTGTGGCGGACCTACATGATTTGTGGCGGACGTACATGATTTGTGGCGACCCTACACGGTTTGTGGCGGACCTACATGGTTTGTGGCGGACCTACATGATTTGTGGCGGACCTACATGGTTTGTGGCGGACCTACATGGTTTTTGGTGGTCAGTACCGCAAAAACGATAAGGAAACTTAAATAACATTAAATGTTGAATGCAATGCACACATTTGACACATCCAAGTCAAATATTTCTTTTAATTTGAACCTACAAATAATCGTAAAAGGATATTTAAACAAGGTA